AGCCCTTTTTCCGAATACAAATGTTTTCAATTTCCAAGTTTGAACGCCAGTAAAAACAGAGTTGCTCATTTAGCAAGTATGTTTTATAATATGCTACTGGTCTAGAAAACATCACATTTAAGAAAACCTCAGCTAACTACAAGAAAATCAGGCCATAGAGAAATCTTGAGATGTCAATAAAGCATAACCACTTATTAATAACATGAAGTCTGTTGTTTTGAATAGCACACTCTTAAGCTGCTTTTACTTGGCTGTCGCTCAGGAGCATGGCATGTATTCAGAGGGCGTGGAGAGCCTTGCATGTAAAAGGTCACTGGTTATGTTGAGATCAGTATTGACTGTGAGATTTGAACCACAATTGTTCTCTTTTAGAAGTAGAACTTCAAAGGACACTTTCTATGTCTGCTGAACAAAACAAGGACAAAAATAATGTGAGGACAAATACTATGATCCTCGTACTAGATCAAGTTACAAAGCAAATTAAGGTAGATTATCTCAACAGGAATTTTGTATCCCCGTCACACTAATCTAAATCCTTCAAAATCAAGATAACTAATAAGTTCTTCTAAAACAGCCAAAAAAAAAAACATCCATTATGTACTAGAATACATAATATCAAATAATATTAAAGATCAAGTTATTTGGCACAAAATGACAAATGACTTCCTGTACCCTTCATGTAGTTTTATGTAATCATTACAAACCCTCACAGATATGGAGTGTGAAGAGATAAGAGGTTAATCATATGGAGCACATTTACACAGCATGGCGTAGTAAACATCAGAGTTCAATGACATATGAAATCCTGACCCCTGCTGTTCCAGTCATTGTAATGTCCATGATGGCTTTTAGTTTTTAAATAGATCTCTGTAGCATGTGAAGAACAATTTGAGAGCTTGAACAAATCACTTAGAAAACCAATAAACAATTAACTAGCAAACAAACAAACATAAATAAGTAAATAAATAGCATTGCTGCAATCCACTATAATTTAAGGGGTGGGAGATACTATTTAGTACTATTACATTTAAAAGAATATACTATTGTAAAACAAAAATAGATTTATTTGAAATAAGAATGATTTATTTAGCAATAATGCATTAAATATCACAGTTTCTACATAAATAATCATGCAAAAACCAGCTCAACTGTTTTCAATATTGATAATAATAAGAAATGTTTCTTGAGCACTAATTCAGCAAATTGCAAGGATTTATGATGGATCATTTGACACTGAAAAATGCCTACTGAAAATTTAGCTTTACCATCACTGGACTAAATTACATTTTTTAAATATATTAGAATTAGAATATATTAGAAATGTTTAATAATGTTTTACTATATTATTGTTTTAATGTATTTTGATCACATAAATGCAGCCTTTAAAAAAACACATTTAAGATTCCAAAAAGTTAAAAATTAAACCATTTCACATCTACCACCAACAACTCTACCCCCCCAAAAAAGAAGAATTCAATACAAATTATTTGTTCTCTAACCTCACATTGTGATCAGACTGATTTAAATAGCAGGTTTCGATGAAGTAAGACATTATTATTATTCAGCTGCACTTTTGCACATGGCTATTGTTCATTCATGAAGGAGCAGTGAGGCATTCCAAGCTGTTTGGACACACGGAATGCTGCACATCGTTAATTGTGCCAAAGTGCTTTAATCCCTTTGACCAAGTACATGAAGAAATATTGAAAAGGCTCTTGGGTCATTTTAGGCTAAAAAGAAGAACCAGGATAACTGATAGATGTTTTGTTCAAATCTTTTTTCCTTTTCAAGAAAAAAATTCTTTTTTTTTTCAAAAATTTGTACAACTTAAAATTGGATGACACACAATTACCTCAACTTTAATAACCATTCAATGATCATCAGTAAAATGAAGTGAGATAAAACATTTCAGTTATAAATGTATAATAAGTGTACTTTAAACTGCTTTTTAAGTATTTAATATTATTTCACAACAAGAATGACTTAGCCCCATTGCCAACTTTCTACTCTTAGATATACCAAGCAACTTCAGAAGGGTGGCTAATTTTGGGTTTGCCTTTAACAAGCTGAGAACTACCCAGGAGGAAAAACAGGAATGTCTCTGCCCACAGACCGGGTGCCTGGTGCAAGAATGAGCACATGTGACAAACTCCAGATCATTCAGCTGACTAGAACACCCCACATACTCTAACACTCAGACTCCAGCACTGCTCAGTGCGCCCTCACGCCTGACAACCCGTTAGTCATTCAGATCGGACACTAAGCGGCACATCACCTTCCTTTGCAGGGGAGCAATCGGCTTGGGGTCAACCTGCCCTGCCAAGGTCCACCGCCTGTGACAATGCACCAGTGTGCATGTGTGAGAGACTGATGTCACACTGAAAGCATTCAGATTCACCCCTCATGAATTAAGAACAATATTTGTTCAGTTACAGCCAGTGCTTTGGCCCTGCCATCACCCGCAGAGAAGGGAATTCACAAGGATAGAAAAGTCCTAATCATTTGTGCCTTAGACTTAGTGTGTTCCAGAGGGTTTAGTGGAATAAACTGACTAAAGCGTGTGAAAATATTTGCAGGACTACTTGGTTTTGCCACAGTGAGCTTGACGGGAAAAGAAAATAGATCAGTGCTTTAAAGGGATAGTACACTCAAAAATTTAATTCTGCCATAATTTACTTTCCATCGTTCCAAACTTGCATGACTTTCTTTCTTCTGTGGAACAAAAAAAAAAAGAAAAAAAGAAGATATTTTGACAATGTTGGTAACTAAACAGTTTTGGGTCCCACTGACTTCAACTGTATGGACAAAATAATGCAACAGAAGTCCAAAACTGTTTGGCTACCCACATTTTACAGTATATCTTTTGTGTCCCGCAGTAGAATGCAAGTTATTTCGGTTCGTAATGACATGAAGGGAGCATAAAATCATCATTTACATTTTTGGGTGAATTATCCCATGCTTTGCAATGTTATTGGAATAAGATTAAACAATGCATTTTACTGTCCTCACGACATTCAAAAATGTGTTTGTTGATTGTGGAGACAATAATAAATATTAATGTAACTAAAAATATATAAATGATAAAGATAATCATTATTACAGTGTTCAAAGAAACAAATAATCAAAATAAATTGACATTTTGACAATGATATAAAGTGTGACAGGGTAAGCTACTAGAAATGTTACACTAATTGTAACCTTTATTTAGGTTAAATAAATATCCACATAAATACACATTTAATGATCTTTACTGCAAGCAAACACACACACACACACACACAAAAACTACCAATGCAGCCTTTAGCAAAAGTAAATGACAAGAAGCTGAAAAGCAAAAGGCCAGGCTGAACGCATCACAAATATGAGCACTAATGATAATTATCTAAACATTCTTTTAATAATACTTATTACAATTTTGTAGGCTAGCATATGCTGTATTTTTTATTTTGCCAGGTTTTATAAACAGGAATGCAACAGGTCTGTGTATATTCAGCACGAGTTAATGAATCGAATCAGTACTTTTTCATTTTGGTTACCTCATAATTTGGAAGTATCAAGTGTCATTTCCCTGAACTATCTTTATCTAAATGAGAGTAGGTGTGAAAGTTCTTACCTCAATCCATCTCTGTGCTTCTGAGTAAGCAGCCTCACAACACATTGAAGACTGCGGTCGCCACTCCATCACCGGCCTTTAGTGCGCTTCTTGTTGAGGCTGTAAGGAAACAGACGTCTACGCTGCAAAAACGCGAGCAAGACGCGCGTACGGTTAAAACGCGAGCGTTCAGTTCTGCCGCATCGCTTGAATAATTTTAAGACTATTACTGTTTTCTTAGAAAATTAAGTCAGCAGGTAAACCCTTTTCGTATTCGACTACCAGCATCACAACTATCACCGAGTCACAACTTAAACGAGCAAAGACCTTATAAAAGCCGTAAACGACGCAGGGTAAAACTTAAATCTCCGCTTGCTCCTGAGAAACTTTAGAGTTGCGTTGTGTACTTTATACGCCCCCTAGTGCGTCAAGATACACACCTAAACTACTGTCAGGTTACATTACAGGTGCCGAGGGCACAATAAAGCGCATTTGGTGAAAAAAAGCACAAAGTCTGTAGATTTAGTTAAATACGTGTTTACAAGTACTGATGCAGGTCAGATGGTATTCAAGTTGTAAAGTGCATTTAAGCATAGATTGACGACTTTTAAAGCTAAATACAAAGACGGTTTTGATTTAATGTTTTTTAATCACTATCCAATTTAAATACTTCTTTTCTGCTTAATTTATTATTTACATTTTTTCGAGTGTGCAACTACTGTTGTAAATCTGTAAATAAGGGATAGATTTCTGTCAGCTGGTTAATAAAATTATTTATGTGAGAAAACAAAGACCATGCAGTGTCCAGGAACACCGACCCAATCAAACTATCAGCATTTATTTTGCAATAATAACCAGCTGACTGTACATTATCAACTTATTATAAGGTTATTTACCAAATAATTCACTAAAAAAGAAAGAAAGAAGCAAAGTAAGATCACAGCCACAGTAAGCAATGCTTTCCTGATGTTCCCTGGACAACAGTCATTATTCATTCCACTGAATGCTGCAACTGACCAATCAGAATGAAGTATTCAAGAAGAGGCATACTCTAAATAACAGTGTACAAAAAATGTAATATTTATCTTATATATATATATAAAACTGTACTCAATATCTTAAAATCATATAAATCTGAATAGATTATTTTTGTTTACAAATTTAATTTATTTTTTAAAGAACATTGCTGTTTTGAAGGAGAAAAAATTAACGTAAACAAAAGATGCACATTAATCATAGCTTGAGTATTCAGGGAGTGAACTGTTGTCACTCATAATACAGCAATGAGGCCACCATGAGATGAAAACATTTGTTCTTTATTGTTTTAGTTTCATCTGAATTTTTGCTGTATTCTTGAGAAAACAGTATTTAGAAGTAGGGCACCATATGCAATGACACATTGGCACACTTCTGTTAAAAGAGCATTTTTGTGTCAAAATATAAGTCTACATATTCAACAGAACTTTTGTTTTAAATGGATCTTTTCTGGCAGAAAAAAAACACCACCACCATTAGATGAATTAATATTAACATCAAGAAAACAGGGCTCCTGGGGATCACGTGCCATGAACTTCTATAATTTTGGAGAAATTAAACATTATTTCAATCAGAGAGTTGTAAACATTCAGATACAACATTTTGTGCATGTACATGTTTTATTATTAGCTAATTTGATCTTCATTTGCTTTGTCGGTTATGGTCAAAACCTTTAACAAACTTTTCTTATTCAAAGTCAAAATTGAACCTATAAAGGTTTAAAGTATTCAGCACTTCTGAATGATTGGCAGTTTTTTCTCTTGGGTAAAATAAGAACATTTATGCTTTGGAAAGAGCCACCACAGTGAAACGGAGCTCCTGGGGATCACGTGCCATGAACTTCTTGCAGACCTCTGCAGAATCCTGTAGATCAGGCAAAAACAGAATCAAATGTATAAAAACGAAACCAATCCACAACAATAGCTATGTTTACATGCAATTAAATAATCAGATTGATGGCTCAATCTGACTGAAATGCGTTCATGTAAACACCCCAATCGATCCGACTGAGCTCAATCACAATGAAATTTCGATCGGATTGAAAGGGGCAGTATAGACATGTAAACACTTGGTTGGATTGAAAACCGAAACTAGAAAGTACATGCGCAACGACATAAAAATGGTGTAATGCTGTATGATGCATGGAAAGAGCCGTTGTTTTTGTAGAATGAAGTGTCATAATTGACTGTCATGTTATTCTAAAATTCTCCTTCCACTCATTGTCTGTGAAGTGGAGCAGAACAATGTCCCATCAGTCCTCACTTCATACTCTCATCCACAGATGGCTTGTTTTAGCAATGGGAATTTGTGAGTTCACTGCTTGATAAATATAAGCAGCACGGCAAAAATCTTCATGTGATATTTGCCTCCTAATTAGGACCAGAAACAGATAGATTCTAACTCTGCTCTTTAAAACAAAGAAAAGAAGCGGTGGTAGAAGCATAGTATGTGCAAACAGCGGGAAAGTGTATATTGCTGCAGTGTGCACATATCAAAAGATGAAATTCAATGTGACGGTTGTGACATAAACGTGCACATCAACTCAATCACTTTATTTAATGTTCATGTAAACACTACACTCAGATTCCTCAATTAGAATGATTTAATTTCAATTGAAACAAAAGGTGTCCATGAAAACGTAGCTAATGTCTACAAACAAAACAAGTTGCAAATATACATTCTTTGCTAGAGATAATCTATACAGTACATCTATAGCCCATGACTGAGAAAAATCCCACCTCAAGAAATGTGTCCTCTGTGGTTTCCCCATGAACAACTGGAAAAGGTTTGCGTCCATCTGAAACACATGAACATAATATGAACACCAGTAATATCTCCCTTCACAATGTTGCACATAATTACGTATAGGTGTTGACACTGTACATCAAATTTTGAGTGTAGAACTGACAAGCAAATAAAACAATGACGACATTCATCATGTAAAATTAAGTTTACCTACCCAGTTCATATAAATGTCCTTCAACATTTACAAAGGCAATAAAATGCAAATCCACTTTTTCATCTAAACTTGGAGCCTATAAGTGTGAGCAGAGTAAAGTTAGCATGTTAGAATTTTTCTATGACACTTGAACAGCAATAAAAAAGCAGAACGGAGATCCAACACAATGAGAACACTAAAGTTCTCAGAGCCAGAGAAGAGCCAAAGAAGGTCATTAAGAATTAAGAGCACATCTAAGTCCTGTGGAAAGAAGTGAAACCAGATTGGAAAGGTCTTAAAGGTTATACTGTGTAGATGTGACTGCAGCAATAATTCTTATTTTAATTCTAAATCTAATTTCATTCTAAATCTGCAGTCGCCGAGTACACAGTTGATTGAGGAAAAAAAAGTAGGGCAAGACTTTTTGGTATAATTGACGTTTTAATTGGATCGTTGTATTTTTCTGCAATCTCATGCAAGTAACAGGTTGCCGGAGGCGATGTATTATTGTCCCGTCCTCATGTCCATGCACACATCATCAGAGATGTCATTGCGAAGGTGAGAAGTTTTTGCTTTTGATTAAAAACTCTACAAGAGAACATGAAATAATGTGCATGGATAAATCATTTCTAACAAATGTATTTATATTTAAAGTAATTCTATTTTTTTTAAATAAAAATTGTCAAGTTAAAAAAAAATTTGTGACTTAAAAAAAAAAATCTGCATCAGACAAACCAGATATGCAAAATCTGTTGTTAATTTACAGGTCCAGAATTAATTATTAAAAAAATAAGCTGGGCCTCTTTGAATCCATTTGTTTTTTTCTGTTTTTTAAGAAACTGTGAATCAAGAACTAACAGTGCAATATTTTCAACATGGTCCTATTCTCAAAATTCTGCTACTTCAACATTAACAAAACAACACCACATGGAAAGTTCATCAGTGGGATGAAACTTCAAAATGTGTGCAAATACTTGGTACTGTTTTGAATGCTGTGTTAGCAACTACTCTGTATTTAGCAAATACCAACCTCTGTTTGTCCTTCCTGAGCACTTGACTCATGTGTTACTCGGATACTCTGAAATCATAAAAACATCAGTACCATGTATACAAGTTTAGTTCAGTTAATTCCTTCAGAGGCCATTCAGTTGCAACAAAAACATATTTTATCACCTCATCTTTTTCAAGGAAAGCTGCCTTGTCTTCGGGGCTCATCTTTGCAGACTGCAGTAAAAATGCCTGAAGTGGTGAATTGGGCTCTGTAAAAAAAGAATGTCATGAACATACCACAAACAAGTACACTGTGAACTTGATCCAAATTAACTAACTAATATTTTTTAAAACGGGAAAATCACTCCAAAAAAAAAGAAAAAGAAAAAAGATCAACACTGATACTTACCAAACTCCAGATGCCTTTGATTGTTCGCCACAGCATGAATCAGCCCTATTGTACCACAAGCATTGCCGATGGTTTGTTTCATGAAGTACACATCTGAGGACACCACTTGTCCTTGTGCCTTAATTTTTGCCTCCTCCTCCTGTCTAAAGGTTTCATACTACATTGACGAAAAGAATATTACTAAAATGCAATCTACAGTACAGATAACGCACTGTAAAATAATAATAATAATTTACAAGAATGACAAAGATGCTTTATTTATCTGACTTAATATGGTATAAAGAATTTATACTTTTCTTCTTTTTTTTTAAGTTGGTTACATAAAACAAATAATTAGACTAAAAAGAATTAGTCTAATTTAATAAAAAATAAATAAAAATACAACCAAGTACCCCTAGTCTTAACACAGACACTAAGTTTATGCAACTGGCCACAGTTTTGCATTAACTAATACAATTTTTGTCACATCCTGTGTCATGCTAAAAAAAAAAACACATTCACAAGTTTTTGAACTCTTGTTGCCACTAAAACTAATTACATAACCACACAATGATTATAGGTAGATTATCACTTCAAACTAACTGAACAAAACGCTCAAATCATCATAAATATCATTAGAAGTGTTGGTGCTGCAAATTCGGTTATTTCATTTTATTTTGGGTCATGGTAAAGTGAGCAACTCACGATTCTGTTCCATTTTATTAGTCTTTCCTGTTCCATTTTATTTAGACCAAATAGTCAAATAATACACCCCTTTAAAATAAATATTAAAAGGGAATTACCATATCACATCAAATAGAGAAAGAGCCCAGCATAAAAAAACAATAAAAAAAAAAACATACAACTATGATTTGGTATAATTTGCAATCTTAGTTGATGCCAGCAACAACTGTATCCAGTTGCAACAGGTGATATTGCAACGAGCATCAGGGAAGCGGTCTCTTAAAGTAGGGACGATGTGTTGTCATATTCGTGTTGTTTTGTATCATGAAGGTCTTTGATGCTCTTACCACGTTTAAATGCACAATGTTACACAAGTCGATTTTGTGTTTAAGCTTTTATTCTGAAATACACCTAATCTTCTATATTTGTCTTATGTAATTATGTTATCCTTTATTTGTTTCTTATTATTCTTTATAACGTTACTTGTTTATGTTATGTTATTAATTTCATGACATTTTCCAGGTCCGTCGAGGCTCTCATGCTAAAGTTTGTCACGTTACAGATTTAGTCCAGTAGGTGGCGATACTTGCACAGTTGATTCTACAAACGCTATTAACAGCAAGAGAAGAAGACTTTTAAGATTCCGCGGAAATGTTTAGTTTTAAATAAGTATAAACCGATTTCGTTTGTATGCTCATTATTTGTTATCTGAGTAGAAATGCATTTTAACAAGTATAAAGATAAACATCATCAAGAGTCGAATTTGTCGTCTTCTTTTATTAATGGTGAGTAGTCGGAATATAGATTCATTATTGTTAACGGTTTTATTCCCCCGTGGTATTATCAGTCATGTCTTTATTACAGCTCCCAATGATAAAACGCTGGCAATGGCGTCTAAAGAGAAGAAGGAAAACATGAGAATTGGCAAACAGACGGCAACAGTGTACGCAGCAAAGATAAAGACCAAAATACACAGTAAGAAATGCTGAACAGATTCGGCTGTCTGCATTACTGATGTAGCTTGTGCTCTTATATGTTAGGAGTTGACCAATGACAATAAATGGACCTTTATTATCTCTTAGATACCTCATCATTCTTCAAGCTTTCTTTGAAAAGCAACAACAAGGCTCTGGCTCTGGCTCTTGTTGCTCAGAAGCAGAAGAGCAGAGAGCTGGAGGCAGAGGTGGTGCGACTGAGGAAAGATGCGCAGACAACTCATTTTGATCTTGCTCATCAGCGTCATAAAAACAAACAACTGGTGTGTCTGTGACAGTGAAAAGCAGCTATATGGCTGTATTTATATGCTGTACACTTGTACAGACATAAGTCAAGATTCACTCTAGATTTTGAAAACATTGAGCTTGTGCTTGACTTTAAAAACAAAGAACATGCATTATATTTCATACCAGTATATGTAGTTAACGTAGGTTTTTGTTGTTGTTGCTGTCTCTAGTTTGGAATTATACGAGAGTTTTATGACTCCTCCCTAAACTGGATGACAAAGGCAGTTGATATTTTTAGTAATGAGGAGGTAAGCAGTCAATGTCAAAGTCAATGTATTTGTCTAATAATTAAATAATATGGTTATTTTTGTTGTGGTGGTGGTGGTTGTTAATAATAAGAATAATCAGCATAATAATAATTATCAGGACTTCAGCCAAGCTTCTGTGATTGTTCACATTTGTTATTTGTTAGATAGACACAATATTATTAATAAATATTTTTATTATAATTCATATTAAAGCTAATTATTATTTTAAAGGATCCAGACAATATGGACTCGGAAGACAAGACCAGTGAAGGTATGAAAACAATTTGTAGCTGTTTATTGTACACAAGGGATAGTTCACCCAAAAAGGGAAAGTTCTTTCATTAATTACTCTCCCTTGTGTTGTTCCAAACCCATACCATTTCTTTGTACCCAAAAAGCATTCTCGTAGCTTCATAACATTACGTTTGAACCACTGATGTCACATGGACTATTTTAACGACGTCCTTACTACCTTTCTGTGCCTTGAACGTGTCAGTTGCATTGTGGTCTATTTAGGGTCAGAAAGCTCTCCGATTTCATCAAAAATATCTAATTTGTGTTCTGAAGATAAATAAAAGGCTTAGGGAATTTTTATTTTTGGGTGAACTATCTCTTTAATCTCTTCTCCATTCTGTCACCGATGGAGTTTTGGTTCCTTGCCGCTGTCGCCTCTGGCTTGCTTAGTTGGGGACACTTCATTTTCAGCGATATCGTTGACTTGATTGCAAAAATAAACTGAGCTGGATGATGACATCACTGAATTCAATGATGAACTGTCTTTAACTGAAAAATGAGTGTTTACGATTGTCATTTTGCATTATTGACACTATTTTCCTAATTAATGCTGTTCAGTTGCTTTGACACAATCTGTATTGTTAAAAGCGCTATATAAATAAAGGTGACTTGACTTGACTTTAAGAATGTCAGTCAAGTTTAGTTAAGTTGGAATGGTTGGCAATTCAACTCATAGAAATTGAGCTAATATTAATTTCTTTGTACATTACTGCTAACAAAATGAGTCTCTTGATGGTGTATTTTAATTTGTGATTTATTTTTCAGACCAAATCATTGAAATGGGAGAGGTTGAGAGTTTGCAAGACAGAACTTTGTGTCCACAGCAGCATCATGTTCAGTCTGTACCAGTGAATTCAGCCGGTGATGCTCCCAGCCAAGAGAGAGATAGTTCAGCACAGCAAAACACCATATATGACTCTGAAATGGAGATGACCATTAGTGACAGTGCTGCTGAAATAGTAACAGTTGAAACAAATGCCAGAAAAACCTCTAGAGTTACAGAAGAACACCAGAAAAAGAAGGATGTGAGTCTATCAGAAAAAGGTAGTGAGTTTATATCTGCGAAGGAAGACTCACCATTTGAATTTAGTAGATTAGAATATACATCAGCTGTGCCAAAAGAGATGACTGCTGTCACACAGCAGTGCTCTCCCACTGTTCAGAGAGAGGTGGAGAATGGGCAGCAAATAGATTCAATAACTGCACGCAGGAAGACTCACGTCACCTCTCGTTGTACTAAAAGTAGCAGACGCACATGTAAACTAAAAGAATCAAACCCAGATCCAAGAAAAACATACCTGATCTCCCAAGATCCTCATGGCATTTTTAATGACTGTTTTAGTGATCCTGAGCTTCAGAATTCTGAAAGAAGCAAGGCAATGCCTTCACATGGAAATATTTCAAATAAAGCTGCTAAAAGCAAAGCTAAAGAGTCCCATGCTACCCGGGAAACCAGGAGAACAATTATAGATCAAGTAGAGCTAAAACCTCAGAAGAGCAGGAAGACCAAAGTCTTGTCCCTTATGATGGATCACAGTTTATCGGATATGCATGAAAATGTTCAATCTGCCAGTACTTTATGCCCAGCGGCTGCTTGTACGGATGTCCATGTCGGTGAGACCGCAGTTCAAAAACATAAAAACAAAACTCCAGCACACCCTCTTCCTCAGTCTGAAAAGTGCAAGACACAGAAAAACAAAGGAACAATTGTGATACAGGCAAGTCAATCATTAATCAACAGGAATTCATTTTTGAATGAAACCAATATATTAGAAGATCCCAACAGACTGGAAGGTTTACAGGAAGTAATATCAGAAACCCAAATGACGCACCTCAGTATTGGTTCAGATAATGTTGCACAACAGCACAAGGAGCCAGAGCATGATTTTCATGAAATATTGACAGAAAACACCTATCATCCCAAATGTTCACAAGATGTGAATGCCAGCCTTGTACAGGAACCCTCTGAATTTATGTCATCAGTGGCTGGCAAAGCCAAAAAACACAGAAAAGAGGGGGCAGATAAAATAAAAAAGAAGAACGCAGCGACTGCACCAAGAGAAAAACCCAAAGCATTAACAAAGAAACAAAACCGTTGTGCTGTGAGTGTGGATGAAACTGTGTTGACAAAAAGGCAAGATGAGACTGATCTTCAGAATGGAGCAGGATGCAGGTCTTTGTCTAATACTTTACAGCTACCAGTAATATCTCATTGCTCAGCCTCAAAGGAGGACCTCGGGGATGAACATAATGCTGAAACCCTTGAAATAAGTTCCCCTTCCTCTGTTGACGAGCTAGATCAGACTGACCATATCAACGTAGACTCACTTTGCATAAATCTGGATCAAACCAACGAAGCACTTGAGGGCAGGTGCAGGAAAACATACGTTGTTTCATCTTGTGATGAATCACCCCTTATGGAAAAGACTGACAGTGGGGCTTCCAGCGACATTTGTGAACATGATCTTTTTACTAATGAAACGGATAATGTTTCACCTGTTTTGAACAGAAGCATGTTTGTCATGGAAAAATACAATGTGACTTCAGATGGTTTTAGTGGACACACAAAAGACCTTCAATTCACAGAAGAGAGGCCTCCCTGGGAGACCCTTGATGGTTACACTGAAGCACTCTTAGATGAAAGCTCTGCCCACAGCCCTCAACCAGAGACCCGCTGTCAAACTATGAACATTTACCAGGACCAGGACTCAGACTTGAGGCACCAAGCTCCAGGTAAACCTTATAAGTCTAAATGATTTGCCAATGTTTGTATTTTTAAGGAGAAACAATAATACGTATGTGACCATGGACCACAAAACCAGTCTTAAGTCGCTGGGGTATATTTGTAGCAATAGCCAAAAATACTTTGTATGGGTCAAAATTATCGATTTTTATTTTATGCCATGTTCCATGAAGATATTTTGTAAATTTCCTACTGTAAATATATCAAAAATACGTTTTGATTAGTAATATGCATGGCTAAGAACTTCATTTGGACAACTTTAAAGGCGATTTTTTTGCACCCTCAGATTCTTTTAAATCGCTTTTAATACAGATGAATTTGAGACTATTTAATTTTTATTTTCCCCTTTTTTTCAATTTCACATATGTCTTATATTTGTTTGTATCTTATATATTTATTTTCATTCTGCGAACAGAAGAAGGCAGGGTTATGAAGAGTCTAACAAATACAGGGCATAACTCTGATTGCGGGAGAACACGGAGAAGAGCAGCACCAGTCTCTTACAAAGAACCAACCCTCAACTGGTGAGTTACACTTGAATGATATAACACAATCTAATGTAATGCAATAAAATATAATGTATTTATGTCTTAATACAGATTATTTTTTTTTTAATGATTTTGGATAATTTTGAATTGATTGTTGTTGTTGTTGTTGTTGTTGTTTTTCAACAGAAAGATGAGGCGTGGGGACAAATACTCTGATATACAATTCTTAAACTCTCCAGTGTTCAAAGACAAAAAGAAAAAGAAGAAGAAACGAGTTTAGGAGTGATTTTCCCATTTATTGATTTCAGACTTTCCTTTGGTATTTCATTTGATTTGATTTTGTCTTTTTTATGTAATGCAAATGTTTAAGATGGATTTTAAAGTAATCACAATGTGATTTAAAGTAAATCACAGCTGTTAACTTGCCTTCAGATCTCAGCTTAGTTTCATTCTTGTGTGTATATAGGAAAAAATTTGTAAATTTTAGATTATTTTATTGGTTAATAAAGAGAACCTGCTCTATTAAGATGCTCTATTCTATTTTATTGTTAATTCTGCTTTCCATCCCTCTGTTGCATTCATACTGGTCATATGGAAGTCAGCTGTGTTCATTTCCTCATCTCTTTCCTATCAAGATATATGTAGGAAAGTTGAGTCTGTGTGTTATGTAACCAGGCACTGGCCAACAGTGTTAAAGTGATTGAAGGACTGATTGAATAATTTAGAGGACTGTTCACCTGAGACGACTACAATTTTGAGACAGAGTAGGAGTGTCTGTTTAACCGGTTTATATTGTATGAGAGCAGACTAAAACTGCTGATATATAGTTATCTTATTGTGCTGTCAGGAAGTGTTGGTATCTGAGTTTTAGGTAAGTTTCAATGAGCTTTCTTTCAATGTGTTTTCAAGAAAATGATTACTTTCTATCTGTTGAGGTGATCTATTTGTTTTAAGCAAATGCATTGAATTCAAATGTTATGGGCTTATAGTCACAGACTGTTTTTTATTTAATCATTTTTTTTAGAGCATCCCAATTTGTAATTTCTTCCAAATGTTAATCTCAGATGCTTTTGGTAACCTAACACTTGTGTGTTAGATATCCTGTCAAATGTTCATCTCACTTTTCCTGTTAGTAGGAAGCCAAAATATAGTTTGAAGTTTGCTTCCTGTGTTTAGTGTTGCCCCTGGCAGAGGATTAACTACTAGGTAAAGTTATACTCCTGGTGCTTTTTTTAAAAAACTTGTAAGGTTTCTTTTTCCTAATGTTGCTGTTTTAATGGGATTTCTGCTATTTCCTGACTAAATCTTGAAATAAAGACGTTTAGAATTAAGTATTTCAAGTGTCTGAAAAATGGAGGTCAAGCGAGTGAAGAGAGATGTTAAAACTTTGCTGTAAGTAACATGAAATAAATTCACTGTACTGTATCAGGATAAAGTGATCATAAATTGTTCATTTGTAAGAACACTTTCAGAACAAAGCTTTTTAAAAACTTTTTTTAGTGATGAATATATTGGACAGCGACTCAGAGAAACTGGTTTTGATCCGAAGGGAAAAAGCACTTCTACAATGTTAGATGATTTGGTAAGTGATCGATATTAAAATGAAAGTTTAATTTCAAAGGACAGGTTTGTCTTATTGAGAGAGTATAGATATTAGTTGCTGTTGTTTTTATGTCTTGCGTTATAATAAAAAAATGGAAAAAGAAGATTCAAGCTTAGGACTTGTTCTAAATACATCTGCATATTTATATAGGCCCATTATGACTTGGCTATAAGTGTGGCTTTGTGGTGGCTCAGTAAAGATAATGGGAAGAATGCAGCTGAGAATGACTACATGTGAGTAATTTATATAAATGGTATTTGTATTTGTGCAATAGATTTATTTTTATGTGCAGTGTTTTGCCTCACATTTGGCAATGATATGTTGTTTGTAGAGGAATTGGCAGTTTAAGACATATTAGCCAGTACCCTAATCACCTGGAAAGAGAAGCGATGATCCTTTCTTCCTTTGCTGGAATGCTTCTGGTAAGGATAAGTAAGCAGTTTCAACAACATTTGTGTTTTTGTCCACAACACAAGCCATATCATTGTTCTCTCATTTTCAGAACAGCTTACCTATAGAAGACATTCTGTCTCTGTACAATTGCAAACCAGTGGCATCTTACCCTCATAATCATGCTAAGGTATGTTACAGTATTTATTATATTATGCTTGTCACCTGAGTGAACAAATGTCACGCTGGATGAGTGGGAATTATATACACCCGGTCTGAAAATGTTGTTTAGTCTGGCACTTTACATCATGCAGTGGTTCTCAACCAAGAGGGACCCATTTGGGAGCCTCTGCAAATTTCTGAAAGATTACATTTTGTTTGTTTAGTAATTGAATTGAATTGAAGCAATCTAATTTTAATAAAATGTCTCTCTCTCTCTCTCTCTATATATATATATATATGTATATATTTTGTGATTTCTGACACTTTTCTCTACAGGGCAACATTGTTCACCCATTCTCCCTCTCTTATCATCCATTTGCTATGCTCAGTTCATTCAAAGCAGTAGACCACTCAAGAAAACACAGTATGTGCCTTCATAGCAATCAAATCCATTAATATAATACAGTATTATTTAATACAGTATTAAAAAGTGATCATTAACAACAGAACAAAATGCTTTCTTTATCCTATTAAAGTATTTAATTTACTCTCTTCATCAGCCCAGGTACTGAAACGCTGGATCAAGGAACACTGTAAACAGGAGGTCTCTCCAGTAACAGAGAAACTGGAGTCCTCCTCCACCTCCTCTTCTAGCTCCTCATTTAGTGTGAGTGTTGGTCAGCTGTTCCTCACATTTTACCACAATCTGTTATGACCCATACAGTAATATAATGTACTGAAAAAGTAAAAAAAAAATACTGGCATCATGTGCTCAGATTGTGTACTAGAATTTTTGCACCTATATTTTGTGTCGAATACAGGATAGCGAGGACTCCTTAAAAGATGAAACCGCAAACTATGAGGGCTCGCAAGAATCTCTGCAGGACTGAAAACAGCAGCTGTATAACAAGCAAATATTCATTTTCATTGTTTATTAAACACATGTAACATTATTTCAGGTTTGTCCTCCTTTGTCCTTGTTGATAAAATATTAGTTCTTTCCTGAGACTTTGTTCACAGCCACACTGTAAAAAATCAAAAGTTGAGAAAACTTAAAAGTTTAAGGTTTTTTCTTGTTTTTGTAGGAGATTTTTGTTTTCTCAACTTTTTGTTGTATAAATGGAAAACAACAAGTTCAGAAAACTCAATAATGTGCTGAAGCTAGTTGCCTTAAACTTCTTTTTAGTTTTCTCAACTTTTGATTTTTTTTGACAGTGCAGGTAATAATAAAGACAGCAGATCAATTGACATGGTTTAGTTTATAAATACCAATAATACTTTTTACCGACTTTCTTAGTGTTAGTCCAAAGTGTTCATACATAGTGTTATTTTAGAAATAGAAGGTGTGAATAATAATAAATTTGCCCATGCATTTTCATTTGACATGTGAAAGAAGATTCAATGTTAAGTTTACAGTAATCAATAAAATTCTTGAACTATTACTTTATGAACTCTGCAACATGTGGTGTGTTACAGACATTTTTGGATGTTGATGCATTCCATGTCATAAGCAATAATTCCATCACATAAAGCATCTCATTAGTGTCTGGATCAAAACAGAGGAGGGCAGCTGAGGTCAGTAATTTGCCAGCTAGGAATTTTGATTTGATGAATCAGGGCTTTTAAATCTATGGATAGGATTAAGAGGTTGGCACCACCATCAGAATGCCAAATCCCAGTCATTGAAAGAGCAAATAAAGTTTGATCCACCATGTTGATGGTGGTTTATAAAGCTGAAACCTTGTGCCCTAGTTTGTATGACTGTTTCTCATGTTTAGGACTGTTTCCAGAGGCTCACATCAAAATGAGTAAGGTAAATGAAACCGTCAAAAATGATAACTTCATTATTTTTGCATTTCTTAAGGAAAGTTTAGATTAGCATTTGATTGAACAGTTGCTAATGCTGAAATGCTAATTATAATGAATGCTACTATGACTATACACAGAACAACAGACCTGTTACAGTTGTCTGTTTAATTTGCTGTAATCTGTGACATCTCTTGATTTCAGATTGTCTTTTATGAGGAGAGAAACTTCCAAGGTCGCTCCTATGAGTGCGACACAGACTGCCCAGACATGCACCCTCATTTCAGTCGATGCAACTCTATCAGAGTGGAGAGTGGCTGCTGGGTCTTGTATGAAAGACCCAACTACTCTGGTTTCCAGTATGTGCTAACCAGAGGTGAATATCCTGAATACCACCGCTGGATGGGCTACAATGACACCATTCGCTCATGCCGTACATTTTCTTATGTGAGTAGAATGCATGTTTTATTCTATTTTATTATTCAATTTTTGTTGTTCACTGTTCTGCCACAGAAAACTCTAGTTCTCAGTATCCATGCTGTGTAAATCTGTTGCATTTTGTGTTGTTGTACACATTTTCATTGCAGACATTCAAACTCTAAGCCATTTAACCTTTATTTAAAACATCTTTTGAAATATTTTGCAGAAAAGTGATGGATCCTACTGCATCCGGATCTATGATCGACCAGATTTTCAAGGTCAGATGATGGAATTCAGTGATGACTGCAAGTCCATTCATGAAAGTTTCCAGTGCCGCAGCGTTCACTCTTGCAATGTCATGGAGGGCTACTGGACCTTCTATGAGCACCCCAGTTATCGAGGCCGTCAGTATTTCATGCCTCCTGGCGAGTATCGCAAGTTCAATAACTGGGGTGCCATGTGTGCCGCCATTGGCTCCTTCTGCAGGATCACTGATTTTTAGAGTTCACATTATGAAAATAATTGTCTTTTCTGGCATTAACTTGTCAATAAAATGTCACAAAGCAAAATGCTTGGCAGTGTATGTATTCATGCTGCAGGTGTTGATTACTACAGCTGTCCATGATCAAACATACAGTGGTGTGAAAAAGTGTTGGCCCCCTTCCTCATTTATTTTTTTGCACGTTTGTCACACTTTAATGTTTCAGATCATCAAACAAATTTAAATATTAGTAAAAGATAACAAGTGAACACAACATGCAGTTTTTAAATGAAGGTTTTTATTATTAAGGGAAAACAAAATCCAAAACTACATGGCCCCGTGTGAAAAAGTGTTTGCCCCCTAAACCTAATAACTGGTTGGGCCACCCTTAGCAGCAACAACTGCAATCAAGCGTTTGCGATAACTTGCAATGAGTCTGTTACAGCGCTGTGGAGGAATTTTGGTCCACTCATCTATGCAGAATTGTTGTAATTCAGCCACATTGGAGGGTTTTCGAGCATGAACCGCCAAAGTCTTCATTTTGTTTTTCTTCAGCCATTCAGAGGTGGAATTGCTGGTGTGTTTGGATCACTGTCCTGCTGCAGAACCCAAGTTCACTTCAGCTTGAGGTCACGAACAGACGGCCGGACATTCTCCTTCAGGATTTTTTGGTAAACAGCAGAATTCATGGTTCCATTTATCACAGCAAGTCTTCCAGGTCCTGAAGCAGCAAAACAGCCCCAGACCATCACACTACCACCACCATATTTTACTGTTGGTACGATGTTCTTTTTCTGAAATGCAGTTTTACTTTTACGCCAGACGTAATGGGACACACACATTCCAAAATGTTCAACTTTTGTCTCGTCAGTCCACAGAGTATTTCCCCAAAAGTTTTCACACCACTGTATATAGATTTCAGGCTGTATGGCATCTGTGGGTAGAAGCTTTAATTCCTAAAGGATTAGTATTCCCTTATGCTTGCCAGTGTAAATTATTTAAAACTACACTGTAAGCATTACATATCAATATCAATTTATAGCATGTTTTAGAAGTCAAAGAAATGATATACAGTATGGACAGTAGGAAGCCACCATAACATTGTAACAAAGGTTTTGATCCCTACAAACTCAACTTTTCTAATGGCAATTACGTGAACGTTTCATTCTGGTAACATATTCAATCACTGACAAAGCCTTGATGTCTTCTGTTAGGCCTTATTTTAATTAGGTAGCCATCTTACACTGGATAAAGAGTTAGAATAATTGCTGCAATACACTTGTTAGTGAGATAGATCATGGCAATGGGACTTTCGTTGACAAAACTACATACAAATATTTCTTGAATAGATTTCCTCATAAACATCCACTATCGGCTATACTAAAGGCATTTCACAATTTCAAGAACAAAACCTTTCAGTAACAATTAAACGTTCTTATTTAAACATATAAACAGACTTGTGATATGTAATGTTAAAATAAATGCAGACAAATAACACTATTGTTATTCCCAGACTTTTCCAGCAGCTTTTACAGAGGCAATCAAAGTGATTGTTTGGGGTAAAACTGTCCACGTTTGCAATATTCCTGTACAGTTTCTGCTGACATGAGTACACTGTGATTTAAATGACAACACAAACAATAGTACCATTATTTTCTTGGATATATATTTATAGTTCCAGCAGCGTTTGGCACCTACATAGGAAAAAGTTCAAAGCCTACACAAACATGGGAAAGGTCTGTACGAATTAGAATAACGAATTGGCCATATATGAATTATTATTGTGCTGCTCTCATTATGTAAAATGTTTCCTCTAGATTATCTTTTACGAGGATAGGAACTTCGGCGGCCGTTATCATGAGTGCATGAGTGACTGTGCTGACCTGCATTCCTACTTCAATCGCTGTCACTCCATCAGAGTGGAAAGCGGTTGCTTCATGGTCTATGACCGAACCAATTTCATAGGATGCCAGTATTTTCTGAGAAGGGGCGAGTACCCTGATTACATGCGTACGATGGGAATGAATGATTGCGTCAGATCCTGTCGTATGATCCCAGTGGTAAAGAAGTTAATTGTTATCTGAAGTATAAATGTTCTTGTTTTAACATATTGAAATTAAGTACTCAGCCTTAACTTCCTGTTTTTTTTGTACCCATAAGCATGGTGGGCCCTTCAGAATGAGGCTCTATGAGCGCCAGGACATGGGTGGCAGGATGATGGAGCTTGAGGACGATTGCCCCAACCTCACGGATCGCTTCAACATGTCCGACTTCCATTCCTGCCATGTGATGGATGGTCACTGGCTTGGTTATGAGCAGCCCAACTACACAGGCAGGCATTTCTACCTGAGGCCCGGCGAGTACAGGAAGTACAGTGACTGGGGCGGCATGAGTTCGAGGATGGGCTCCATCAGACGAATCATGGATCTCTAATGAAAGGAGTCCTTGTGAAATGTCTGCTGTATGCCCTTTTTCACACACTAAATAAAATGGTGTCTGTGCTCAAGTGTCTTGAGTTTTGTTCTTGCACCCTCTACCTGGAGGAGTCCGTGCCTGATGACGACTCTTGCTATAGGCTGCCAGACTGCTTGACACTGTTCGGAGAACTGAATAAAACTATAGAGACATTTTCCTCCATGAGACAGGTTTCAAGCGTTGTATCTATCTGCTTGTGCTGTATATTAATGCTCACTCATGGCAAATAACTAATGATAAACAGATGAAGTGTAGAAAACGTGCTTAAAAATAATATGGCTTATGTCTAATACAATGTTTATATAGATAAACATTAAAAAGTAGGACTGTTATAACCATGTAAATATGGGGTTCAACTTAGACAAAGTTTGGTTCAGGTAAACCCTGTTGTAAGTGAATAAAAAATGGCTATGGATTAAAGAGTAATAAAACATATTTATTAGAGTGTAAAGTATATACAGAATATATTAAATATATTATATAGTCAAAATACAGTTTATATATATATATATATATATATGTGTGTGTGTGTGTGTGTGTGTGTGTGTGTGTGCATATCATGTAATATAATGTATCCAAAAGAAATAATACCATAAATATTAATTAAATTAATTAATAACGTGAATTAATTAATAAATACACACATACATATAAATGCATACACTTACATTTAACATATTCATAATTTCTATAATTTTTAAGTAATCATTTTATATTAATGTGTTTTTTTATCATTTCCACACAACTGGCTATTGTAAATTCACATATTTATGTTAATATCACATGACAAGTCTTACATGGAACTTACAAGCAATTTATCATGACTTATTGGATATTGGGTATTGCGTTTCATCTATTCATTATGTGATCACAGCCTCAATTTTTTTTCTTTTTTGTTTTTACTGCATTCATTCACAAAATGGCAGTACTGACAATATTTTTAACAAAATAATTATAACAAAACTTTTTTAAACCAAATGGCAAAAAAGCATTTTTGTGTGTGTAATTATAATATGAATGACACATACAGTGTCGACACTTCATGTGTATATATATACCATAGAGCGTCACACTCACATGGCACAACTGCTGTCGAAAATGGTGAAGGTAAATCAATACTGTAAGGAAAGTGAGAAAGTCATATAAAAATATAGTTTACCTTATATTCAAGATATTTACACTGGTTTTCCTGTAAACTGTGCATGCATATGGACTGTCTTCTCTCTCTTTTTTTAACAGATAATTTTCTATGAAAACAAGAATTTTGAGGGTCATCGGGATGAATGCAATGGTGATTGTGCAGATATGCTCTGCTATCTTGGCTGCTGTAACTCCATCATGGTGGGGAGTGGATGCTTCATGATCTATGCACAACTACATTACAAAGGCCAGCAATTCTTGGTCCGTAAAGGAGAGTACCCAGACTTTGAAAGCTGGTTGGGCAAAAATGACTGCGTCTGCTCCTGCCATGAAATTCCTATGGCCATGGTGATTATACTATATGCTTGAGTAAGCTACATTGGAAGTAATGAAAAAGTTAACTTTTTTATCACTCTAACCAATATTTTAAATGTCAGAAATGAGTGAAAAATGAGATAGTATTAAGATAGTAGTTGATTTAGAAATGTTTTGTTCTTCTCTCTACCAGACACAGCGATCTTCTCATGAGGTGAAACTGTTTGAGAGAATGGAGTATGGAGGTCAAATGATGGCTCTAGTGGAGAACTGTCCAAATGTCACAGACATGTTCCAAACAAACCACATATTCTCCTGCAAGGTGATTGGTGGAAACTGGCTCTTCTTTGAACAGTTCAACTACAAAGGCAGGATGTACCTCATGAGGCCTGGAGAATACACAAGATTCACTGAATGGGGAGGCTTGAGTGCCCATGTGGGTTCCATCAAACGAATCATTGATAACTCGAATTAACATTCATGCAGGCTGCTTAGCAGTTTTAAAAAATATATTTGCTTATTTTTTAATGTAATAAACACTGTTGTAAACTCACACACACACACCAAACTTAAAATTATTTGCTTCTATTACTTAACATAGGTCTGCCATGTTGAATGACAACTTACAGTATGAAGCCTTTATGCTTCAAACGCTCTTATATGTTATCTCAGAAATAAATGTTTATACATTTTTGACTCATAGAATGTTTTATATAACATTTTACAGTATATTATTCATAATGTAACTGTGTTTCTATACTTACAGCAGACTAATTAAATACTACTGCTTATAAATGAGCGCAATGTTTTCTTTTTTATTTCATGTTCCACTTTCATGTTAATTTATTGGTATTTTCAGTTCGGTCATTATATAAGATGAATCATATAATAATATTGCAGCTTTATCCAGACTTAAATGAACCATCCATTACTCAACTGATTCAGTATAAGACCTGTTGCTTTTGCATTGATTTATTGTGCTGATTGCAGTCAGACTGAAGCTTCTGCAAGCAGGATGGGGCATTTTGATGAATATGGAAAAACTGCACCAGGGCCAAGCCAAACATAATCAGATTGTTTCATTGCCCCCCCCCCCCCCCCCCCCCCCCCCCCCCGCAAGGCCAGCAATTCTTGGTCCGTAAAGGAGAGTACCCAGACTTTGAAAGCTGGTTGGGCAAAAATGACTGCGTCTGCTCCTGCCATGAAATTCCTATGGCCATGGTGATTATACTATATGCTTGAGTAAGCTACATTGGAAGTAATGAAAAAGTTAACTTTTTTATCACTCTAACCAATATTTTAAATGTCAGAAATGAGTGAAAAATGAGATAGTATTAAGATAGTAGTTGATTTAGAAATGTTTTGTTCTTCTCTCTACCAGACACAGCGATCTTCTCATGAGGTGAAACTGTTTGAGAGAATGGAGTATGGAGGTCAAATGATGGCTCTAGTGGAGAACTGTCCAAATGTCACAGACATGTTCCAAACAAACCACATATTCTCCTGCAAGGTGATTGGTGGAAACTGGCTCTTCTTTGAACAGTTCAACTACAAAGGCAGGATGTACCTCATGAGGCCTGGAGAATACACAAGATTCACTGAATGGGGAGGCTTGAGTGCCCATGTGGGTTCCATCAAACGAATCATTGATAACTCGAATTAACATTCATGCAGGCTGCTTAGCAGTTTTAAAAAATATATTTGCTTATTTTTTAATGTAATAAACACTGTTGTAAACTCACACACACACACCAAACTTAAAATTATTTGCTTCTATTACTTAACATAGGTCTGCCATGTTGAATGACAACTTACAGTATGAAGCCTTTATGCTTCAAACGCTCTTATATGTTATCTCAGAAATAAATGTTTATACATTTTTGACTCATAGAATGTTTTATATAACATTTTACAGTATATTATTCATAATGTAACTGTGTTTCTATACTTACAGCAGACTAATTAAATACTACTGCTTATAAATGAGCGCAATGTTTTCTTTTTTATTTCATGTTCCACTTTCATGTTAATTTATTGGTATTTTCAGTTCGGTCATTATATAAGATGAATCATATAATAATATTGCAGCTTTATCCAGACTTAAATGAACCATCCATTACTCAACTGATTCAAGACCTTTTGCTTTTGCATTGATTTTTTGTGCTGATTGCAGTCAGACTGAAGCTTCTGCAAGCAGGATGGGGCATTTTGATGAATATGGAAAAACTGCACCAGGGACAAGCCAAACATAATCAGATTGTTTCATTGACCCCCTGATTCTAGCCCCTATTACTTTCTCCCTGGGCTAGATTTATTTGAATGACAATACTTTATGCTGTGCAATCACAGAGCAGCTTCTAGGTTTTATAAAAGACTGTGATAAACTGGATGCCAGTGTCAAGCAGTAGCTCTGCTAAATGCCAACATGACTATCGGAAAGGTAAATGGCATCTCTCACTCCCATAGACTAATCTGCAAGTTCACATTATTTCATATATTGTATAGTAGATTTATTATACCATTTATCTTTAACAGATCATCTTCTACGAGGACAGGAACTTTCAGGGCCGATACCATGAGTGCAGCAGTGACTGTGCAGACCTGCACCCTTATTTTACCCAATGCAACTCAATCAGGGTAGAGAGTGGGTGCTTCATGGTGTATGAGCACCCAAATTATATGGGACAGCAGTACTTCCTGCGGAAGGGCGAGTATTCTGACTGTCAGCGCATGATTGGCTTCAGTAACTGTATCAGATCATGCCGGATGATCCCCATGGTAAGTGATTTATGGGAATCAGCAAATAAACATTGTTAAAAAACAGCCATGCTCTAGTTCATCAGATCAAAGGAATATAATGCTTTAGACTTCAGAAACACACCTTTGATATTCTTTGAAATAATAAATGTGTTGATTAAATATATCCCAAATCCATGTTTTCTTGCAGTATGCTGGTAACTACAGAATGAGGCTATATGACCGGGCTGATATGGGAGGTCAGATGGTAGAAGTCACGGAAGACTGCCCTAACATCATGGACCGCTTCCATACATCTGACATCCATTCCTGTCACGTGATGGACGGTCACTGGCTTCTGTATGAGCAGCCCAACTACAGGGGACGAATGTACTACCTTGGACCAGGTGAATACAAGAAGTACAGCGACTGGGGAGGAATGGCCCCAAGAATCGGGTCCCTCAGGAGAATAACCTCTTTCAACTAGACAACATCAATTGTGCAACAACATATGCACTAAATAAAATCTCTTGACTGAAACTTTTGCTTGTCTGATTATTAATTCTGTTCTAGTGTTTTTATGTGAAATTAATAACAGAAAGTCAGGTTCTTATTTTTGTTCTAGTGTTCTCATGTGAAATTAATAACAGAAAAAGTCTATTTATTATTAGAATAAAGAACTATTTGTTCCACATTTAATTGACCTATCAGTGACATTTTCTATTGCAAATCTGGTTACCAGACTGGAAAACATTCATTGGTAAAGCAAAACTGAGAGCGAACTGTCTCTCACACAGTTTATGCTTTTGGCTAAACAATCCAGGGCTCAATCTGGATTAACTGCCCTAATTGTAGTTAAATCTCTCTCTACTATGACTGTCAAAAACAAAAGCAGCCCCGCTATTTAAAGGCACATTGACCTCAGAGAAATTTGAGGATGTTTTTAATCCACATGCATGTTTTAGTGGTACAAAGTGACAATCCAATACCAAATTACAAGAAAAAGTGAAAATACAAGCTATAAGTTATAGCTCCATATTCAGTGATGGACACGCAACTTCATAATTTGAAGACGACTGAATAAGAAGACAAAATCGATCTTAGGTCATTTGGATTTATAGTTAAAGTAAGTAATTATGTTGTGGTATTAATTGGATGGATACAGGTAAATTTCTGATCTTTTGTCATGGCTGTTGTTTCTTTGCTAATAGAACTTGATAGATGACTCTACTTTAGTAGTACTTTAAGATAGTGCTCTACTTTATCTGTATTCACCCATGTATGGCTTTGCGATGAAGTAGTAATTTTTCTTCCTAAAATACTACATGTTTTAAGATTTAAAAAAAACTATTTGCACACACAGAGTCATATAATGCTTCATGATATCACAAAAACATTAAATTAAATACTGCTTGCTTGGTTTTTTGGTGTATCTGCAGTAAGAGGCCTTCTTATAAAAGATGGTTGTATTGATTTCATTATTTTCCATTTTAAACGTTTTACTGTAGTATTTTTGCCACTTTAAATATTAAGGCTATTTATATCTACACGCACAAGACATTTACAAAAAGCATATAAATAATATGTATGTCCATGTTAAAGAAACATTTTGGACAAACTTGCTGTACAGTGAAAACTTCTGCTTTTGCTTTCATATAGATAAACAAAACATTTCTTTTACATGCCACAAAATAGTAAAAACTGTATGTGGGCATTTTACTGGGTCTTTAGCTTCTTGCTTTTACAAACAAATATCTATGGTTTTTAGAGCATGAAGCACATCAAAGGTTGACATTTGAATATCAGAGGCAATGTTCACGTAACATCCCCAAAACACAGCTGACTTAACTCTGAATTGATGAATAGGACTTTTCTTTTTAAATTCTCTTTTTCATATGTAAGAATTTATTGCAAAATTCAGCATGTCAATGCAGTTGACAATACTGTTGAGTATGGAATCTCAGTAACGGCTCCCTCTGTTGAACAACTTCTTTAATGCAAAGGGATGTTCCATAATGTTCTGTGTGCATTGTGCTGTGAATGTGTGGGTGCCATACCAGTCCTTTCCCTGGACCATGTAAGAGAAAACACCAAACATGTAATTATATATCCTTTTTCAAGTAAAATCCATATTTTTAAACCCAATATTGTGCTCTAACAAAAAGGTAAACATGTGCCAGTACTCTGACATATTCCTGTATTAATTTGAATAACAATACTTTGTTTGTCAAGAGGCAGTATAAAAAGCTTGGGAAGCATATGGAATCTCTCCAACGGAGACCATGGGCAAGGTAGGATTTTTGGCACCACTTTCATGACATTTACATTGAATTGCACCTTCCCTATGTATGCTAAGCTTTGACGCTGATGGATTATTCTCCTAATCTCTGCACTAAAACAAAGTGTTGATTTTGTTGGCTTTTTCAGATTGTTTTTTACGAGGACAAACATTTTCAAGGTCGTAGTCATGAGTGCAGTAACGACTGCACAGACCTGCACACTTACTTTAGTCGCTGCAACTCCATCAGAGTAGAGAGTGGCTGTTTCATGATCTATGAACGTCCAAATTATATGGGACACCAATATTTTATGAAGCGAGGCGAGTATTCTGACTACCAGAGATGGATGGGCTTCAGTAGTTGGATTCGATCCTGTCGCCTGATTCCAACGGTGAGCTTCATTGAATGTGCTCCTTTTGTGGAGATACTTATATTATGGTTTCTTTGACACCAGTGTACTGAATCATTAATTTGTGTCTTGACGTCAACAGTACAGGGGACCATACAGACTGAGGACCTATGAGAAGGCTGACTATGGAGGTCATATGATGGAATTCACAGACGACTGCCCCTGTGTGTCTGATCGTTTCCACCATCGACATGTGTACTCCTGTAATGTGATGAATGGCTACTGGATCTTCTATGAATATCCCAACTACAGAGGGAGGCAGTACTTCCTGAAACCTGGGGAATACAGGAGATACCGAGACTGGTGTGCTACCTGTGCCATTGTGGGCTCCTTCAGACGAGTCACTGATTATTAGCCATTCTGTTTGCACTTATTTATATGAACTGCTCATTTCCTGTTTATAAGCATAACTGTTCATGAACATTTAGATTTTTCACTTCTTGTGCCTGGACATAAAAAACAAACAAAGAGATAAAAATAAAATGATATTTGTAATAATAAAGTACTTGGATTTTACTGAATTCTCAGCACTAAATCAGTCTCTTATAACAGAATGAATTGGCTTTTTTCACCTTCTCACTTTGATAAAAAAATGTTTGTTTACAAATCTTAACAAAAAGCAATAATAACAATACAAAACTGCATTTATGTCAATATAGCATATAGCAAGACATAGAAATTGTACAGGAAAATATTTACCTGGATAAGCAAAATAGATTACAGGTCTGTGAGATTCTGTTGTCAAACAGATGAAGCATGAAAATGACAAAATGAGATTGTATTTTAAATAATATATCAAATGCTTGCACTAGGTGAAAGAAAACACAATGTTGATTATTATTATTATTATTATTATTATTGAGGTATATAAATAATGGATAAAACCATTTCAAACATCTCTAACCTTAATTGCTAAATACTGTTTTTCAGATGTCCGATAATAATATTCATTATTTTCATAAAACGTATTATTTTAAAAGGACAAAAAATACCATTTTGCATGCTTAATTTAATGCTTATGTACCAGGTAAACTGAATTAATCCCTGCAGTAGCAATCATGCTTGTAATGTGCATGTAGGTTTGGAGGAAACAGAAAATAGAATTTTCCAGTGCAACATTTAAATATGTGACAATAAATAAAATATTTAGCACAATGAAAAATAGCACATGCATAATTACAAGAAACTGCAAATGCAGTTACACATTTCTGAAAATGATTTTATGATTTTGTAGCACACTTGTTATGTCTCTAGTTGGAGTCACATGCACCGAAAGTTATGCGTTTGAATGAGACAGTTACAGTTACAGTATACTTTGCATGAAGATGTCACTTGTGATATTGAAAGAACATTCGCTCTGGATTTGACTATAGTCTTGCCAATACTGTAAAAGACAATGCACAAACAGCTGCCAGAGATGTATGGATAAAAACTATTGTTTCAGTTTACTGGACCACTTCAGCAGAAGTCATACTGCTTGATCATCAGCTTCTGGCATTTGAATAACAACAAAATGTAGGCCCCTGGTTTTTCTATAAAAACCACCACCAAAGGCCATCAAAGTACAGCTGGTACAGTGAGCTGAAGCACTGAGATAAACAACACACTACCATCATGGGCAAGGTAATTTGTTTGAAATAAGTATGCTTAATATTTCATAGAAAGCTTTAAGTTCATATTGCATCCAGTTTTTATTTAAAGACTAAAGACAAACATGATTCAATTCAATTCAGATCTAAAAGGCAATTTTTTTTTAAATCACCTGAATTTTCAATCCCACCAACAGGTCATCTTCTACGAGGACAGGAACTTCCAGGGGCGCAGCTATGACTGCATGAGTGACTGCTCTGATATCTCCTCTTACCTGAGCCGCATTGGTTCAATCAGGGTGGAGAGCGGTTGTTTCATGGTCTATGAGCGCAACAGCTACATGGGGAACCAGTTCTTCCTGAGGAGGGGCGAGTACCATGACATGCAGCGCATGATGAGCATGGGCATGATGTTCGACACTATCAGATCCTGCCGCATGATTCCTCCAGTATGGCTCTCACTTTGTTTTTGATATTATACTATACTATGCATGCATTGCCGAGAAACTGCTAAATAATGATTATATTCTAATAAATCTTTATTTTTTACAGTACAGAGGATCCTTCAGAATGAGGATCTACGAGAGGGACAACTTCGGAGGACAGATGTATGAGTTGATGGATGACTGTGACAACATCATGGAACGTTACCGTATGTCTGACTGCCAGTCCTGTCATGTGATGGATGGCCACTGGCTCATGTATGAGCAGCCCCAGTACAGAGGCAGGATGGTCTACTTTAGACCTGGAGAGTACAGGAGCTTCAGAGATATGGGATACAGCAACATGAGATTCATGAGCATGAGGCGTATCACTGATATGTGTTAAATTGCTAGAATACAGAAGGAAATAAAGAGTTATTTTCAGAACTAGCTGTGGTGTCTTGTTTTATTGGTTTTATTTTTTTTATTTAATATTTTCTTTTTTTTTTGCTAAATTTAATTACTTTTTTTTTTTTTTTACATATAGTCTAATTAAGTAACTTAGATTTGTTAGACTAAAAACAGTTTTGCATGAGTGTTTTCCACCCTCTCGCTGATCTTTAAAATTAAACAAGCCATTTTTTTGCTTCAGTGCCTTAAAGAGCTTCTATACATAACATATTTGCATTTGGAAACAGAAGAAGTGCTCTTCCTGGGTTTACAGGTTTGCTGCCAGATTTACTAGGTCCAACCATTTCAGAACACCCATTTTTCAACTTAATTATAATCTTTTCAGATGAGGATGTTTTGAAAACAGTTATAGTCAGTGTTCGAACTATAC